AAAAGTATATTGTTGAAATAAAGAATTTGGCCCATGGATTAAATAGCAGAAAAAACTCATCTGAAGATTAAATTAGTGAGTGATAGACTAGGGAACACACTCTTCCAGACCAAAAAAACAAACAAACTTCTTGACGTTGAGTCAATTCTGACTCATAGCAACCCCTACTCATCTTCCAGAATGTATTAAAAAAGACAAAAGAAGTTAAAAAATGAAAAAAGTTCAAATTAAATCAAAGAATATAAATAGAAGTGATAACACCATCTCAAAGAAGTCTCGGTAAGAGAAAAAAATAAATGGAAGGGTAGAAATATCTGAAGATGAATGATCAGGAATATTGCAGAATTAAAGAAACTCAGATTGAAAGGCCCCAGAGAGTAGTAAACTGGACATAATAATTTTTTAAAAAATTTATAGTGAAATTTAAGAACCTCAAAGTCCAAGAGGAAAATTCTGAAAACATTCATAAAGAAGAAGCAAAGAACCTTCAAAGGAACAAGAACCAGAAGTACATGGGCTATATCAACACCACCAAAGCAAATGTAATAACTTTTAATAAATGTAATACAAAGTGGTGTAATAACTTCAAATTGAACACAGTAAAGACCCTTGAATTTTTTATCCAGCTTAAAACTATCACATAAAAATAAGAGGAATAAAGGTAATGAGCTCAGAGAAAAGAGAAAGAAGGAAATAATAAAGCCAAGGACAGAAATCAATAAAATAGGCAATAACAATAATTTTTTTAAAACCAAATAGAGATGATTGATAACATCTAAAGCTGGTTTGTTGATAAGCCTAATAAGATAGATAAACCTCTGATCAGACCAATGGAGGAAAAAAAAAAAGACGATGCAAATAAACCAAATACCAAAAAAGGGTGGTGGTAGTGAATATATTTTTACCCAATAAACTTTAAAATTTAGATGAAATGAATAAATTTTGGAAAAAATATAAAATGTCAAAATTAGCATTGGATTATTTTTAAAATAATAATAATGATAATTTACTATAAGAACAACCGTAAAAGAAATTGAAGTAAGAACCAAAAATTTCTTTATACTCAACTGCCCTCTCCGAAAAAGCTCCAGGCCCAGAGTTTTTGACCACTATACTCTGAAGGTGGGGCAATCCTACTTCTGCAGCGATACTGCCTCGAAAACCCAAGAAGGGGTCACTATGAGTCAGGGCTGACTTGATGGCACATAACAACAACAACATACTTTGAAGGTATAGATAATTTCTGTTATTCAGATTGTTGCAGAAAATAGAAAATAAGGAAAGCTGCTTTGTGGAACTAATTTAACTTTGATATTAAAAACAGATAAGGACTATACACAAAAAAATATGGGCTAATATTGAGAATATTGATACACAACCTAAATAAAATATTAGCTACTTGAATCCAATACATGTATTAAAAATTAGTGCAGAATACAACTATCGGTCTCTACTCATCTGAAGCAAAAGAGAAAGAAGGAAATTAAAGACTCAAAGAAGTAATTTGTCTCAGGATGAATAGCCTGCATGAACTGCAGTATCATCTACCCTGAGACCAGAAGAACTAGATCGTGCCTGGCTACCAATACCAATCATTCTAATCAGGGATATAATAGATGGACCCTGATAAAATAGGAGAGAAAAGAAGAACAAAACCGAAATTCTTAAAAAGTCAAGATTTATTGGACCAGTTGAGACTAGAGGAGCCCCTGAGCTGACTGCCCTGAGATAATGAGTAAACTTTGAAAGGAAATTACTCCCAGAGGTGATCTTTCAGCTACATAATAGATTGGTTCATAAAATAAATATCACCAGTGGGGGGAGGACTTTATCTGTAATATTCTACATCATTTAAATTTGTTAAAATATTAACATCTTAAAATAGTGCAGGATGATCAAAGAGGGTTGATGCCTATTTATGTCAATGTAATTTATCACATTAATAATAAAAGAGAAAAAAGAAAGTCTATGTTCTTAACAGGTGCAGAAAGAGAACTTAGCAAAATTTTATAAACTTTTTATAAAAACCAAAACTTTGAAAACTAGAAATAAAAAAGAACTTCTTACTTTTGGAAGACTAACAAAAACATGTACCACATTCCCTTTAAAATTAGAAATAAGATTTTTTTTAAAAAAAGACAGTAAGAGGTTTAATACAAAGATTAGAGGGAGGAGATATGTTAAATTTGCAGCTAATATTATTTACATAGAAAATTCAAGAAGGCCATTTAAAAGATAAATCATTACAACTATCAAGTTTACCAGAAATAAGATCAACATATACAGAGTAATAGTAAAAAAAAAAAAAAAAAAGTAGTCAGAAATAAGAGCCCATTTAGATAGCAAACAGAAAGAATAAAATGTCTTGGAATTAAGAAATCAACCTAACAGAGAATGCATGAAAACTTTGAGGAATTTTTAAAACTCCTTTAAAAGATATCAAAGGAGAGCTGAGTAATTAAAAACAACAATAAATAAATAAATAACAGCATTTTGAATGGGGCAAAATAACATTGTAACAACGTAATAACAGTTATCAATTCTCCCTAAATTGAACTATCATTTAATTTTAATTAAAAAAATCTGCTGGAGTATTTGGGGGCTCTGACAAAGTGATTCTAAAAGTTATATCGAATAAAGGTTCATGAATATCTAATATTACTCTGAAAAAAGAAGAGCAAAAAGAGGAAGAAAATTGCTGACCAAATAGTCAGACATTACAAAGCTCGATAAAGTGCCAAGTGTGTTCAATGAGGAGGACAACTCCGGAAACACTCATAAATACACAGAACAAGGGGATGGAGGGACTATGTAGGGATGGTTTGGGGAAAATTGGCTCACTGTGTGAAAAATTAATAGTTTAATTCATTCCCCATACTACTTTAAAAAAAAAAAAAAAACCTTCCAATGAATTTGGATTAAAAACCCAAATCTGAAAAGCAAAACTACATGTTAATAGGAGAAAATGTGACTGAATAGCCATGTGAGGCCAGGAAGGGAAAGGATACCATACCCAAGATCCAAAATACATGAACTATGGATACATCTACCTATATTAAAGTAACTGTTTATGTGCAACAAACATCATAAAGTTATCAGAGAACTGACTGACTGCGGTAAAATGTTTTTAGCGTTGAAAACTGAGAAGTGATTAATATCTAGAATTCAAAAGGCTCTTTTGCAAATCAGAGAGAAGACAGGAAACTCAACAGAAAAAAATGAGCTAAGTATATGGTTAGGCAGATCACAGGAAGGGAAAGCCAAAAGTCTAGTAATACATGAAGAGAGGCTTAGCCTCATAAGAAATCAGAAGATAAAAATAAGACCACAGTTAGATACTACTTTACAAGTGTCAGATTGGCAAAAATTAGAAAGTCAAAAAATAACAAGTGGGATATGAAAACTGTCACACTTTTCTTGTCAGAGGGTCACTGTAAGGCTATTTTCAAGAATAATCTGGCAGTAGGTAATGAAATAATACGTGCATTTACTCTATAAGTGAGCAATTCTGGGCTGATATCCCTAGAGACACTCTCACATAGCCACAGAGGTGTTATCAGGGAATTGGAAGGAACTTGGAGACCACTCCAACTTGGAGACTGGACAAGGAAAGTGTTCAGGCAGCAGTTCGAAGAAATGAGCTGCATGTAACAGCAGGATGAGTAGATCTCAGAAACATAATGTTGAGTGGGACAAAAACAGTGAGGAAAAGCATTAGATTAGATTCACAATATGTTTCATGAAAATAAAACACAAGCATAAAGCAATGTTTATTTTCAAGGATACATATGTGCCTAAATAAACAATGGAGTGGTACAAGTAGTAAATTCAATCAGCTGCTAACCAAAAAGCTCCAAATTTGAGTCCAGTCAGAGATACCTTGAAACAAAGGGCTGGCAATGTACTTCCAAAAAATCAACCACTGAAAACCCAGTGGAGTATAGTTGTACTCTAACACACACAGGGTCACCATGAGTTGGAATTGCCTGCACTGCAACAGTGGGAGATGGATTAGATGGATGCATATTACATTCACTAGAGCAGGCTTTTATGGAAACATAGGACTAGAAAGAGGAATGGTAGATGAAGGGGACAATCATTTTTAAAATAACACTACATGGGGTTCTTATACAAGTTGATGATGCTGGTTTGCCATTATGGTGTAGTAAATTACATGGTTTGGCTTTTCTAGCCATAGTCTTTGTAACTCCCACTTTGCCATGAGCAACTGAGCACCTGATTGTTAAAGTTATTTACCTGGGATATTTCTGTTGAAGCAGCATGAAGTAATCTCTGGGAAGTTAGCTCTCTCTCAGGTGTGTAGAATTCTGATGTTGGGATTGGTTAGTTTTGCCCCTCTGTCAGGCTCAAAATGAGCCTTCCTAGAGGCAGAAGGAATCTCTCTGACTGCCAACTGAGAAGGACGTGCTACTGAAAGTAATGCACTGCTGAGAGAGATGCACTGCTGAGAGAGATATGAGAGAAGATGCATTGCTTGAGAGAGAGAGATGTGGTACTGAGAGAGGCTGAGAGAAATGGTCAGCTGACAGAGATGGCTGGCTGAGAGAGACTGAGCATGTTCCTGAACTTGAGTTGCAGACTGTTGCTTCCCTAATAAACCCCATCAGCTGTGAGTTCTGTGTGATCACTGCAGCAAATTATCAAACCAGCAGAAAGGTGGAGGGTGCCACAGGAGGAATGGTTGGTGACAAGGTTAGTAAGAGAGCTGGAGATGGTGGCATGTCTGGCCTCATAAGAACAGGTCTTGGGCTGCTGATGGTGATTCTGTCTTCCTCTTGTGTAGTTAGAGGAGGTCAGAAGAAAGCACCTCTTTGCCCCTATAGCAGCCATGAACCAAGAAGTAGGTTGAATTTAAATGTGTGAATCTGCAGTCCTTACAAAATAAAAATCTTTTCTTCCTAAAACTTCAACTTTGGATGAGTTGTAGTTTTCCATGCATCTTTACCCACTGTGATTTTATTCCCTTTTCCCCCATAAAGGGTTGCTGGCTCCTCTCCAGGTCTCTGCACACTCAGAGGGCATAAACAACATGATGGTGACTTGGGAGCCTCCCAGGAGCGCTGCCTCTGCTGTCAAGGAGTACGTGGTGGAATGGCGGGAGCTCTATCCAGGGAGTGGTAAGAAGCACCCTCTAAACTGGCTACGGACACCCTCCTACAGCATGTCTGCTTTGATTTCAGGTACCTAATTGTTCACCCTCTTTCCAGAGCATTACTGAACTCACATTTGTTTAGGGCTACTGCTGAATCTGCCCTCAATGACAAGTGTCTCCATGGTAAGAGGGAATAGGATGACCTAGAGAGTCCATCAAGACAGCAACTTAGAATTCACCACTGCAGCCAGAGAAGGCCAACTAGGTGTCTGACAGATCTAGTGTGTATGGAATTTCCATGCACCTAGCACAGTGGAGCTCTGGTGATGCTGTTGTAAGGCATTCAGCTGTTAGTCATGGCAGAAAGATGAGGCATTCTGCTTCCGTAAAGATTTACAGCCTGGGAAAGCCTATGGGGGTCCTATGAGTCAGAATTAATTAATTGATGGCAGTGGGTTTTGGTCACATAGTGCAGCCCTGATGACACAACAGTTAAGCACTCAGCTGCTAACAAAAAAGGTAGCATTTTGAACCTACCCAGTGACTCTGTGGGAGGAAAACCTGGTGATCTGCTCCAGTAAAGATTATAGCCTAGAAAACCCTATGGGGAAGTTGTACTGTCACATGAAATCACTGTAAGTCAGAATCAATTTAGTGACACCCAACAACAACTACAGCACAGTGACCAATAAAATGAATAAATAATCAAGTGGAGAGCTAAGTGGTAACCAGTCAGTGTTTTGGACACCTTGACATCTGGAAGCACATTTCATTCTCAAAACAACCACATACAGTAGAAGTTATTATGTGTACTGCACAGATGAGGAGACTAGGAGATCTAAGTTTCATTCCCAATTCTGCTATTTATTTGTGTGATAATAAATCCGGAATTACCTTTGACCTTTGTAATGATTAGTGTCTCTGATCCTGTTTCCTAGTCTGTTCATGATTAGAATCAAATAAGAGAAGCAGGTGAAAATATATTGAAAGAATTGGACAGAACTTTAATGTCATTTTTAAGCAAGGGACAGTTCAGCATAGTGGTTAATGGTTCTGATTTTGGAACAAGATTACCTGGGTTTGAGCCCAGGCTCTGTCACTTACTTAGTTGTGTAATCTAGGGCAACTAACTTCTCTGTTCCTTAGTTTCCTGATCTGTAAAACAGTGATAATAACATGACCTACTTCATTGGGTCACTGTAAATACTAAAAGAGTTAATACATGGAAAATGCTTTGAAGAGTGCCTGACATATTTTATATGTTCAATTAACTTAGCTATTATTTTCAGAAGGAAGGTTGGGCAATCTACTTCTGTAGTGATACTGCCTCAGAAACCCAAGGAGGGGTCACTATGAGTCAGGTCCAACTTGATGGCACATAACAACAACAACCCAACATTATTTTTATTATATGTGACAGAAGTAAGAATTGAGTATTCAACTTTCCAAACTCTGAATCCCATAATATTTCATTACCCCATGACAATCATCACACCTGTCCAGGAAGATGCACACAACCTTTTTAAGGAGACAAGACTTGCACAAATGAAATAAACAGAATACACAGCATGACAATACATGACCCCATCCTTTTACAGTCTGGGTTGCTCAGACTTCTAGTGGGTTTTGTTGTTTTTTTTTTCTTCTCAACTGTAGTGAAAATATACATCACAAAACATACTCTATCTCGAAAATTTCTATTTGTACGAATCAGTGACATTCATGACATTCTTCAAGTTGTAAAATCATTCTGCCTGTCTTCCAAATCATTTCACCACCATTAATATAAACTCAACGCCCCCTAAACAAAAACTGTCCCTTCCAACCCTGTTGTTATTAGTTGCTGTTGAGTCAATTCCAACTCAGGGTAGCCCCATGTGTGCAGGGTGGATCCATTCCTTAGGGTTTTTTGAGGTTATGACCTCTTGGAAGCATATCAACAGGCCTATCTTCCAAGGCCCCTCTGGTGGGTTCACACAGTTGGCAGTCTAGTGCTTAACCATTTATGACACCTAGCACTCCCCCCACCCCTGGTAACCAATAATAATCTTTGATTTCTGTATATTTACTTTTTTCATACAAGTGGTTTTATACAAATTTGTACTTTTGTGACTGACTTATTTCTCTCAGCATGATGTTTTCCAGATTTACCCTCATAGTGGCATACATAAAGATTTCTGTAAGGCTGAGTAGTATTCCATTGTGTGTATATACCACATTTTGTTTATCCATTCCCCTGTGGATGGACATTTCAGTTGTTTCCACCCTTTGATTATAGTGAGAAGTGCCACAGTGAACACTGGTGTACAGGTTTCTGTATGTTCCTTCCTTCAGTTCTTCTGGATATATACCTAGGGTTGGGACTGCTGGATCATATGGTAGTTCTGTGTTCAACTTTTTGAGAAGCTACCAAGATGTATTCTATCATGGTTGTCCATTTTACATTCCTATCAACAATTGTTGTGGGCTCTTGTGTTCAGTTTTAATCACTATACTTAAAGAAAGCACTACCTCAGACTAGCTAGCATGCATCCAGAGAAGGTGAACAATCATTGAGGGTTCTGGAACTTCTTCTCTAACAACGATTTAGCCTGTAGAAGAGAATTCTATATGGGGGAAGGGTATGGTGTCTTGATGGCTGTTGCTAGCTTTCGATGGTACGTATGAGAAAGCACAAATCCTCTGTTGTGCTAGAAAGAAAAATTAAGACCCTTGCATGGAAATGGAAAGAGGAGAGATTTCAGCTTAATTTGAGAAAGAACTTTCTAAGTGTTGGTGGTCTCTATTAAAATAATCGTTTGCCTCTCAAGGCAGAGTGTTCTCTGTCCCTGGAGTTGCTGCAGTCAAACCTGTTTTCCTTTATTCTACCCATCAAATTAGAAGAAGCAGTGTATCAAAAAAGCACTTGCTGAACTCTAAAATGCTACAGAAATTGTAAACGCTTATTATAAACTATACTAAGATTTATCCTTGTGGGATAGTGTGAACTATATGATAAAATCAAAACCAAACTCACTGCCATCGAGTTGATTCTGACTCATAGTGATCCCTCCTTGGGTTTCTGAGGTGGTGTCTCTACAGAAATAGATTGCCCAGTCTTCCTTCCGAGGAGTGGCTGGTGGGTTTGAACCACCAGCCTTCTGGTTAGCAGTCAAATGCCTTAGGCACTATGTCACCAGAGCGCCCAAACTATATAATATGTACCTATAATTATTTTCTTCTAGAAATTCTAGCCACCACCCATCTGTCAGCTTGTCATATTGTGGCTTGTGGTTGCTGTGGGGCTGGAAGTTATGCCACCAATATTTCAAATACCAGCGCGATCACCCATGGTGGATAAGTTTCAGCAGAGCTTCCAGACTAAGACAGACTGGGAAAAAGGACAGTGCCATCCACTTCTGAAAAAACTGGCCACTGAAAACCTTACGAATAACAGTGTAACACTGTCTGATATATTGCCAGAAGATGAGCCCTTCAAGTTGGGAGGCACTCAAAATACAACTGGGGAGGAACTGTCTCCTCAAAGTAGAGGCAACCTTAATGACATGGATGGAGTAAAGCTTTCAGGACCTTCATTTGCTGATGAGGCACAACTCAAAATAAGAAGAAACAGCTGCATACATCCATTAATAATTAGAATCTGGAATGTACAAAGTATCAATCTAGGAAAATTGGCGGTTGTAAAAATTGAAATGGAACACATAAAGATTGATATTCTAGGCATTAGTGAGCTGAAATGGGTGGGCAGGAGGGGGGATTATTAGTCATTTTGAATCAGACAGTCATATGGTCTACTATACCCGGAATGACAAATTGAAGTGAAATTGCATTGCATTCATCATCCAGAAGAACATTTCAAGATCTATGCCGTCAAAGTGAGAGGATAATATCCATATGCCTAACGAGCTCTGGTGGCGTAGTGCCTAAGGCACTTGACTGCTAACCAGAAGCCTGGTTGTTCAAACCCACCAGCCACTCCTCAGAAGGATGATTGGGCAATCTACTTCCATAGTGATACTGCCTCAGAAACCCAAGGAGAGGTCACTATGAATTGGATCCGAATCGACAGCAGTGAATTTAGTTTTTGTTTTTTCGGACAAGGAAGATCAGTTAATACAATGATTATTCAAATTTATGCATCAACCACTAATGCCAAAGATGAAGAAATTGAGGATTTTTACCAAGTTCTGCTGAAATTGACCAAGTGTGCAACCAAGATGCCATGATAATTACTGGTGATTAGAATGTGAAAGTTGGAAACAAAGAAGAAGCATTGTTACATGGAAAATATGGCCTTGGTGACAGAAATGACTCTGGAGATCCCATGATAGGAATTTTGCATGACTTATGACTTATTCATTGAAAATACCTTTTTTCAGCAACAAAAATGGCAACTATATACATGGCCCTTACCAAGTGTAATACACAGGAATCAGATTAACTACATCTGTAGAAAGAAACAAAGGAGAAGCTCAATATCATCAGTCAGAATAAGGCCAATAGCTTACTACTGACCATCAATTACTCATATGAAAGTGGAAGTTGAAGTTGAAGAAAATTCAAACAAATCCATGAGGGCCAAAAATATGTGTTTGACTACAAGAAAGCACACATGAAGAAAGCAAAAAGTCATTAAAAAGACAGGAAAGGAAGAAAAGACCAAAAGAGATGTCAGAAGAGACTCTGAAGTGTGTCTTTGAACAGAGAATAGCTAAAGTGAATAGAAGAAATGATGAAGTAGAAGATCTGAACATAAGTTTTCAAAGGGCAGTTCAAGAAGACAAAGTAAAGTATTATAATGAAATGTGCAAGACTCTTAGAAAATCAAAAGGGAAGAACATGCTTGGCATTTCTCAGGCTGAAAGAACTGAAGGAAAAGTTCAAGCCTTGAGTGGCTATATTGAAGGACTGAAAATATTGGACAATGCAGGAAGCACCAAAAGAAGATCGAAGGAATACAGAGTCACTGTACCAAAAAAAAAAATTGGTCAGTGTTCAACCATTTCAGGAGGTAGCATATGATCAAGAACAAATAGTATCAAAGGAAGTAGTCCAAGCAGCACTGAAGGCATTGGTGAAAAACATGGCTCCAGGAATTAACAGATTACTCACTGAGATTTTTCAACAAATGAATGCAGTGCTGGACGTGCTAATTCATCTATGCCAAGAAATTTGGAAACAGCTACCAGGATAAGTGACTGGAAAAGATCCATATTTGTGCTCATTCCAAAGAAAGGTAATCCAAAAGAATGCAGAAATTATTGAAAAAAATCATTAGTATTACACACAGGTAAGAGTTTCCTGAAGACAATTCAAAAACATTTGCAATACCACATACACAGGGAACTGCCAGAAATTCAAGCTAGATTCAGAAGAGGTTATAGATTAAGGGAAATTCTGATGTCAGATGGATCTTAACTAAAAGCAAAGAATACCTGAAAGATGTCTACCTGTGTATTATTGACTATGCAAAGACATTAGACTAGGTGGATCATGACAAATTACGGATAACATTGTAAAGAATAGGAATTCCAGAACGCATAATTGTTCTTATGAGAAACCTGTACATAAACTGGACAATGAATAAGGAAGACTAAAGAAGAGTTGGGGAGCTCTGGTAGCATAGTGGCTAAAGCACTTGACTGCTAACCAGAAGGCTGGTGGTTCAAACCCACCAGCCACTCCTCAGAAGGAAGGTTGGGCAATCCTACTTCCGTAGTGATACTGCCTTGGAAACCCAAGGAGGGGTCGCTATGAGTCGGGGCTGACTCGACGGCACATAACAACAACAACAACAACAACAAAGAAGAGTTGAGGCCTTTGAATTGTGGTAGTGGTGAAGAATACCAAAAACACCATAATCTGCCAGGAGAATGAACAAATCTGTCCTGGATGAAGTGCAGCCAGAATATTCCTTGGAAGGGAGAATGGCCAGACTTCATCTCACCTCCTTTGGTCATGTTGTCAGAAGAGACCATTCCCTGGAGAAGGAGGTCAGCAAAGAAGGGAAAGACCCTTAACAAGATGGATTGACATGTGGCTATAGGATGGGCTCAAACATAGAAAGAGTTGTGAGGATGGCATGGGACCAGGCAGCGTTTGTACATTAGGTCACAATAAGTTAAGTTGATTTCAACACTCAACTCATAGTGACCCCATGTGTGACAGTTTCTTGGTTAGTTCTGCCCTTGGTGCTTCTCTAGGGGATTTTCTTGCTTGTAATTTTTACAGAAACAGATATCCAGTCTTTCTCAGTGGTGTTGCTGGGTGGGTTCAAACCATCACCCATTTGGTTAGCAGCCAAGGGCTTAAGCATTTGCACCACCAGGGCACCTTCTATAATTACCTCTTGTTATTTGTCATTTCATGTTTCCCTTCTCCTACATTTAATAGGTAAAATTAGCATGCTTCAGGAAAACCACCTAAGAGATTGCAAAAAGGACAAGGAGGCCACATATTCTGACCTCCTAGAACCCCACAAGAGGAAGACAGAATCAACACCAATAGCCCAAGGCCTATTCCTGCAAGGCCAGACATGCTGCATCCCTCCAGCCCTTTCTCCAGTCGTTCCTCCCAAAGCACCCACCACCTCTCTCCTGGGTTCGATAATTCACTGCAGTGGCCACACAGAACTCACAGGTTATGGGATTTATTAGGGAAGCACCAGGCTACAATTCAAGTTCAGGAAAAAAAACCACTCAGTCTCTCTTCCAGCCCACCATCCCTCAGCCAACAGTCTCTCACAGTCTCTTTCCCAGCAGTGCATGTCCCTCAGTGTCTTACGCAGCAATGCGTGTCTCTTTCAGGAGCACCTGTCTCTTTTGGCAGCACGTCTTCCTCAACCAGCACTCAGAGAGAGTTCTGCCTCTAGGAGGCCTCCTTTTGAGCTTGGCAGAGTGGCCAAACTAGCCAATCATAGCATCAGAACTCTAAGCACCTGAGAGAGAACCTCCCATAACATTGCAGTGTGCTACACCCAACAGAAATAACCCAGGTGGATAACATTTACAATCAGGAGCTCCTCAGTTGCTCATTCCACCACTGAGTTTACAATGACTTATGGGTAGAAAAGCCATACTAAGTAATTTATTACACTGCAGAGATGGTTCTTAAATACAATGTAGGAGACAAGGTCTTTGTCTGAAGTAGTATATCTATATGCTTACGTCTTCCACTAAGGGTGGGCCCTTCACAAGAAGAAGCTGATAGCCCCTTAATGCAGAATTTCCCAAGGCCTCTGCCCTGAAATTCATATTTTGCCTGGCAAAATGCAATGATACCATTTGCCTAATGAGCTTATCTGGAACTCCCAGGCCTTGACATGGCACTGTGACTAGTTGGCCTTCCAGGACTAGAGACCGGCAGGCACTAGAAACAGTCGATCCCAACTCACAGCAACCCCTCCTTGGGTTCCGAGGCAGGATCTCTACGGAAGTAGATTGCCCAATCTTTCTTCCAAAGAATGGTTGATGGGTTTGAACCAGTCAAATGCCTTAGGCACTATATCACCAGAACTTCCATTGCAAAGGAAATGGAATTCCATTTTCTGCACTGTCCTTTGGGCTTCTGGGTCTGGATGTTACCCATGATGAATCTTTGGATTATGGGATTGAGCTGACTATGTCCTTACCTTCATCTCACTTGGTCCATAAACACAAATTGGATCTGGTACAATTGTCACCCATTCATGTCTTGAGTTTTTATCTCATCATGGTCTCCTCTGACAGTACTGGTTGAACGTTTGAGCTTTATGTCCATTTAGTTGTTGGAATATTTAAGGAAACATGGATTTTCATAGAAAGAACACAATTTAGTAAATTATTCTGTGACTTAAAATTGTTCTTTCCAGGAAATAAATGTTAAACGCTCATCAACTATTGTTTTGGTTACCTAGTACCACTCTGACAAGAATATACTACAAATGGGATAGCCTTAACAAACAGGAGTTTATTCTTAAAATTTGGAGGCTTTAAGTCCAAATTCAAAGTGCCAGGCTCTAGGGGCTGTGTGAAAGCCCCTCGACCTTGGGCTTCAGCTCTGCCTCTTGCTCCCAGCCCACTGAAGCTAGAGGCATCTCTTCACTCAGGCAGCTACTGGCTACTGAGGCTAACAAGCCCAAGTCAACAAATAAAATGGCACAGTCCCGGTGTTACCAAATCACATGGCAGGCCATTAATCCAAGCCCATTGTAAGTCCCAAGGTTGGCAGAGCATGGCAGGCTGCTGAACAACGACACGACTACATTCAGGGTCCAAGCGTACATAAGCTAGAGACCATTCCCAAAGCTACTGCCTATATATGGGAAGCTGACCACATCCCTAAAGCAGCTACTCAGCTGCTTGTGGTAGATTCTATCATGGAGTTGATTGCCAGTCTCATCATGGGGAATAACTACCACTAGTCACTCAACCAGGCCCAACCAAGTTGACATACAACTTTAACTACCACAATTGTCAATGTAGGAGACCAGATTTATTATTAAAAAGTATTAAACAATAATGTGTGTTGAGTATGTAATTCCATAGTTATTTGATAAAGGTTCTCTTCTCTCTTCTTTCTTTAAATTTTCATTTGGAAGATATGTCATGGGCAGTATCTATGAGAGGAATCTTTTCTTCACAGGAAGTAGAAATTTGAGATTCAAGGAAATAAGGACACTTGCCAGGAAAGACAGACTGACCAATAAGCTTTATAACTAAAAGAAAATGACAATGTGGCTCTTAGAAAGCTAGAATAGTCCATCAAAAAGAGAATAACCAATATATACCAGATGTTCCGTTGCATTCTTTCCTATGTATCTTCCTGAACTAGGCTGTGAAGCACCTGAGCTCTAACTGGAACGTTGTGGGGAAGGGAAGGGAGGAACAGGGGGCTGGGTTGCAGTGAGAGTGCCCTGGTTAGTTCTGCCCAAGTTTGTTACCCGGTGCTGCTCTGTCAGACCCCAATAACCATGTATGGAATTAGATGATCAGGTTCTACACCTGCAAAATTAGAGCCTCTACACCTGCAAAATGACAGCCTCACTTTTCTGTAAACAGCAAATGATTTACCTGTAGAAGTCAAAGTTGTTTTGTTTTGTTTCTTCTTGAAGGCAAGTTATGTTTCCTAAGTGCACACGTGTCTGTGTGATTATATTGAAATCCCTGTTGGAACTTGAATACCTTTTGTCTCTTTCACAATTATAATGACCTTGTTTGTTTATATTAGAAACAGGTTTGTCTTTTTTTTTTCTTCATACTTGGAAGTTGGAAGTACTTCTAGAAGCCAGCACCATGGTAAATAAGATACTGAGAACTTGTAACTTAGGTCATCCCTTCACCCTTGGTCCGGACTATACTCAAACCATCTCCTAACAAAGGAAAGGCAAGACACACCATCAAGGAGTCTATATCAGACAATAAAATGGCTGCCTTTAGTGAATCACTAATAATGCCACATCTGTTATAAGAAGTCCCTTTTCTTGCAGAGAACATAAAACCCTACATCTGTTATGAAATCAGCGTGTATGCACTGTCTGCTCACCAGGCAGGATGCAGCTCTGTTCGGGGCAACTCTAAAGACAAAGGTGAGTCTTGGGACCATTTGCCAAATTTTGCTTTAATGATTTGGATTTGGAGGGTGATAAAAACCTTCTGTGTTCTACACAGCACCCCTGAATGGCCCCAGTATTAATGCCATCACAGAGGAAAAGGGAAGGGTTTTAATTTCATGGAACCAAATTCCAGCCCAGGAGCAAATGGGCTGCATCCTGCATTACAGGATCTACTGGAAGGAACAGGACTCTGACTCCCAGCCTCGGCTCTGTGGTATGTGTGAGAACCAAATGCAGTGGGGCCTTTCTTGCTTAGATGTCTGGAAAACACACAAGCATGTGCATGTGCACATCCATATACAAGTGCTAGTACCATGCCTGGTGCTTAGTAGGTGCCCAATCAGTATTTATGGAATTAATTGAGTGGAAAAAACAAAAGACATCTAAATACACACAATTAAACATCATTGGCTCAGTGGTAGAATTCAGACCAGGCTTCTATTCCCAGCAGTGTACCTCATACACAGCCCCCAACCATCTTTCATGGAGGCTTTTTTGTTGCTATGACTGTGAACAGATTTCAGCAGAGCTTCCAGACTAAGATGGCTAGGAAGAAAGGCCTGGTGATCTATGTCTGAAAACTCAGTCTATGAAAACCATATGGCTCACAGCAGTCTAAGCTACAGCTGATCCGGGGGATGGCCCAGGCTACATTTCTTCCACTGAGTCAGAGACCAACTTGAACAACAACAAATTTACACACACACAGAGTTACTGAATACATGTTACATGCCAAATAGATTGCTAAGGATCTTGAAGTGGAAAATACGGGTTCGGCTCTCAAGTTGCTTAGTTAAACGGGGAGACAATGTTTCAAAAACAACAGTTACTTCAACACTACACAGACCATGGAAGTTCACAAGTAATGCATTTGGAGAACTTTTAAATTCCCATATTTGTAAATGCCATCATAGCATATTATTTTCTCCCTAAAATGATAAAATACAACATATAATCTATATGTTGTATTATGACCCATTATGACTCTATATGCCTAAGACTAAAGCAATTAAAATAAATTCTGACTGGAGCATTATCTCAAAAGATTTCATGGCTCACTCATTTGTGTAGCAGGTCCAAGTCATTTGCCAGATCTGATGGTCCACATTTGATTTATTGAGAGTTTCATTCCCTCCCCTGACCCTACCCCCAACCCCACAGTTTAACCTCTTTGCTATGTAAGCAGCTGACATTCTTTTCAGGGACAGTTATCATAAAGAAGCAATATTTTTATTCCTTTGAGAGCTGTTACGTTCAAGAAGAATATAACACAGCCACTCTGAGATGTAGATGCAGAGAGCTGCCTACTGGAGGGATTTTTACCTGGTGTTTTGATCCTCTAGTGCTGCTGTAACAGAAATACCACAAATGCATGGCTTTATCAAATAGGAGTTTATTGTCTTACAGTTTAGGAGGCTAGAAGTCCACGTTCAAAGTGCCAGCTCTAGGGGCTGGGTGAAAGCTCCTCAAATTGGTCTTCAGCTCTACTGCTTTGTCCCGGCCCCCTGAAGCTGGAAGCTTCTCTTAACTCAGGCAGCTGCTGGCTGCTGAGGCTGACAAACCCAAGATCAACAAGTAAAATGGCACAGTCCCAAGATCAAGCACTGTGGCAGACCACTAGTTCAAGTCCAGAAACAGTCTCAAGATCGGCAGACAATCTGTCAGCCCACCGAGATGAAGACTCGGCCAAATGCAGGATCCAGATGTACCAAAAAGCTCAGAGACTTTTCTCAAAGTGTCTTCTTATATACTGGAAGCAGACCACCTTAGATCCCTAAGGTAGCTCCAGCTGCTCACAGCACATTCCACGTTGGTGTTGATTATTAGTCTCATTATGGGGAATCACTATATCCAGCTGCCTAGCCACTCAAAACCATGCCCAGCCAAGTTGACACATAACCTTAACTACCACACCTGGGAAATTTATACAGTACTTGCACATGATTAAAAAATTCAAATAATTCACAAGGTTATATTACAAAAATCTTCCTTCCTCCACACTGAGGCCCATTCTCCTAAAAGCTAACTACCTTTAGCAGTTCTGCATGTGTTCTTCCAGAAAGTAATAATAATAATACTGCATATGATTGTTAGGTGCTGTCAAGTCAATACTGACTCATAATGACCTCATGTACAGCACTGCCCTATCCTGTGCCATCTTCACAATCCTTCTTATACTTGAGCCCATCATTGCAACCACCGTGTCAATTCATCTTGTTGAGAGTCTTCCTCTTTTCTGCTGACCCTGTATTTAACAAGCATGATATCCTTCTCCAGGGAATGGTCCCTCCTGATAACATGTTCAGAGTAGGTGGGATGAAGTCTGGCCATTCTCCCTTCTAAGGGACATTCTGGCTGCACTTCTTCCAGGATGGATTTGTTCGTTCTTTTAGCTGTTGTTGTTGTTAGATGCCCTAGAATCATCTCTGACTCATAGCAACCCTATGCACAGGAGAACGAAACACTGCCTGGTCCCACACCAGCTCCACGATCCTTGCTATACTTGAGCCCATCGCCACAGCCACTGTGTCAATCCATCTTGTTGAGGCCCTTCCCCTCTTTTGTCAATGCTCCACCTTACCAAGCTTAACATCCTTCTCCAGGGAATGGTCCCTTCTGACAACATGACCAAAGTAGGTGAGACGAAGTCTGGCCATTCTCACTTTCAAGGAACATTGCGGCTGCACTTTTAGGACAGATTTATTAGTTCTTTTAGCAGTCCCTGGTACTTTCAGCATTCTTCGCCAGCACCACAACTCAAAAGCATCAACTCTTCTTCATTCGTCTTTATTCATTGTCCAGCTCTCACATGCATATGAGGCAACAGAAAATACCACAGCTTGTGTCAGGCGCACCTTAGACCTCAAGGAGACATCTTTGCTCTTCAGCACTTGAAAGAGGTCCTTTGCAGGTGATTTGCCCAGTGCTATACGTCATCTGATTACCTGACTGCTACTTCCATTGACATTGATTGTAGAAGTAAGCAATATGAAGTCTTTGACAACTTCAATCTTTCTCCATTTATCATGATGCTGCTCATAGGTCCAGTTGTGAGGATTTTTGTTTCCTTTATATTGAGATGTAATCCATATTGCAGACTGTATTCTTCAATCTTCATTAGTAAGTGCTTTAAGTCATCCTCACTTTCAGCAAGCAAAGTTGTGTCATCAGCGTATCACAGGTTGTTAATGATTTTTCCTCCAATCCTGACACCATGTTCTTAATGTAGTCCAGCATCTCAGATTATTTTCTCAGCAAACAGATTGAATAAGTATGGTGAAAGGATACAATCCTTCTTGATTTTAAACCATGCAGTGTCCCCTTGTTCTGTTCGAACAACAGCCTCCTGGTCTGTGTACAGGTTCCTGATGAGTACAATTAAGTGTTCTGGAATTTCCATTCTTCTCAATGTTATCCATAATTTGTTATGATCCACATAACTGAATGGTTTTGCATAGTCAATAAATCACAAGTAAAGATCTTTCTGGCTTTCTTTGCTTTGAACCAAGATCCATCTGACATCAGCAATTATATTCCTCATTCCACATCCTCTTCTGAATTCAACTTGCATTTCTGAAAGTTCTCTGTCAATAGACTGCTGCAACTGTTTTTGAATTATCTTCAGCAAGATTTTACTTGCATGCAATATTAATGATATTGTTTGATAATTTCCACATTCTGTGGGTTCACCTTTCTTTGGAATGGGTACAAATATGGCAGTTCACGGTATGGTCAATATTCGTTGCCAACACCACAATGCAAAGACATCAATTCTTCTTCAGTCTTCCTTATTCATTGTCCAGCTTTCACATGCATATGAGGTTATTGAAAAAATACCATGGTTTGGATTAGGCACACGTTACTCTTCAAAGTGACATCTTTGCTCTTTAAGAAGTCATCTTTTGCAGCAGATTTGCCCAGTGCAATATGACGTCTGATTTCTTGACTGCTGCTTCCATGGATGTCTCTCCTAGAGCACACATTATACTTCATTACTATTTAGTTGTGTTCTCCAATAGACTCTAAGCATCATGAGGGCAGAAGCCATGGCAACTTTGCTCACCATTGTCTCCACTGTACCTATAATAGGGCCAGGCACGTGGCAGATGTATAACAAATGGATGAACACCACAAAGTCCATGAGTTGTGTAAATGGTGAAGGTGCTCAGCTGCTAACTGAAAAGTTAGAAGTTCAAGTCCACCCAGAAACACCTTGGAAGAAAGACTTAGTGATCTGTCGTTGTTATGTGCTGTCTAGTCATCTCTGACTCATAGCAACCCCTCCTTGGGTTTCTAAGGCAGTATCACTACGGAAGTAGATTGTCCAATCTTCCTTCTGAGGAGTGGCTGGTGAATTTGAACCACCAGCTTTCTGATTAGCAGTCAAATGCCTTAGGCACTACACCACCAGAAATCCCCTTTGGTGATCTACTTCCCCAAAAATTAGCTATTGGAAACTCTATGGAGCACCGTTCTACTCTGACACACATGGGGTCACCATGAATCAGAGTCTACTTGACCACAACTGGTTTTTCATTTTGGTTTGTTTTTGAATACTGCCACACTTGGTCAAGCCAATGGAGATTGATAATGTAAAAACTCAGTTCCAGTAACAATGCAGCAATTTTCCCTGACATCACTCTACTTTTCTCTCAGCAACCTTTTAGAGGATTGGCAACTATCACGTCTTCCTAAACTGGTGCCTTTGTCATTTAACCACCCTGAGCTGAAAGTTTCAGACTGCCAAGGATTGGATGGACCTCTTCATCTCTGCCAGAGATCAAAAGCCAGACGGAGGCAGCAGGACCAGTTTTTCCTGTTTGACTTCTTCTCTCTTTACTCAGCTCACTCTATGTTGCCAATCAAACAGACACCATCCTCCTCCTCACTGCACCCCCATAGAGAGTTTCTGTTAAATATACCTCTGTGTGTGTGTGTGTGTGTGTGTGTGTATGTAAACTTTTCAACCCAGCAAAACCCTACAGATCCCTTTCCTGTTCTGATACCCAATTCACTCCCACAGCTAAGGATGTCATATGCAGTTGGACAGCTGACTCCCTGATGCTCACGGATGTTTTGCTGCAGCGAGATGAGCAGAAGTTCTCTCTAAAATTAATTTTTTAATCTCCTGCCTTAAGACTTAAAGGAAACGGTTTTTTGAGCTCAATATATAGCTTTAAGTCTGAGCAAGCAATTTCATCACACTGGAGTAAGCTTGGGAATTTTCCACAAGGTACTTTTTTCAACAAGATATAAAATGTAGAAATGGCTGTGATGCTCACAGCTATTAAATGATCTGCTCAGGCCACAGCATCTTTGGATAGAGTGGAGATATTCTTAATGGGCTCCATCTTGTTGGGTACCAGATCTGAGACAGGATAGGGTAAGGTCCCCTGTAATCATGAACTCTTTGAGGTACATTCTATTCTTTTCTATACTTTATACCTTGCCCAGAGTCAAAAAAAAAAAAAAAAAAAACCTCATTGCTGTCAAGTAGATTCGACACATAGCAATCTCTCCTTGGGTTTCCAAGGTGATATCTCTATGGAAGTATATTGCCCAGTCTTCCTTCCAAAGAGTGGCTGGTGGGTTTCAACCTCCAGCCTCTGGTTAGCAGTCAAATGCCTTAGGCACTATGCCACCAGAGCTCCCAGAGTAGGTGCTCAATAAATCATCGTGAATGTTGAAATAAATTCCACGAACAGGTTCATCACCTGACTTTCCCTGGGCTTGGTGAGCCATTGTGCGATATTCAGTCACAAAGTTCTGAGCGCTAATGTTCACTTTCGTCCCCAGCTCAGGAGTAGATCTGCCCAAGTCCTGCCCTTGATTTTTACAATCCTTTCTGGCATTTGAGAAGTCATTCTGAAACTCACGCCCAACAGATCACTGGAGGAGAAGATTGCTTATTTACTAAAGGCTACTATCACTCATGTTTTCTTCCAGCAGAAAAACAGCCTCAGCACATTGCTCAAAAAACACTCTTTCCTGCTGAGGAACTGCAGGGGTGTGAGAACATAAGGAACTCGGTTAAATCTGCCAAAATGAATGCAATCTAAGTACTGTTGCTCTGATTCTTAATGATTTCATGTCAACTGAACAGATTCATCATATTAAGCCCCCAGAGCTGAGTACTCTGAGTTGACAAAAAGTACAAAATCAGAGTTTATAAATGTTATTTAAATGGCTGTTTCATTAATTGCTAAACTTTTACTGTCCGAAAAGTGCCACTACATTGAAAACAGTTTGTACATTTCATTCCCCCTCCCAAAAATTTTCAACTATTCCTGATAATGCATGAAAAATTAGTCATAGGAAATAAGTTTACTGCAGCTCAATAATTGCAAAAGCAAAATGATAAAAATGCTTTCGTAAGATTTTTAAAACCACCAAACCCACTGCTGTGGAGTTGATTCCAACTACAGGACAGAATAGAACTGCCCCATAGGGTTTCTAAGGCTGTAAATCTTTACAATCACATCTTTCTTCTGCAAAACAGCTGATAGATTCAAACTGCGACCTTACAGTTGGCAGCTGAGCACTTTTAACCACTGCACCACCAGGACTTCAAAAGATTTTGCCAGAGGAAAAATTATATTTGTCTAATGTGCTATGGAGTGGGGCCTCCATAAATAAGAATATCTAAACCCACTGTCATCAAGTTGATTCTGACTCATAGTAATCCTATAGGACAGGGTAAAACTGCCTGCATAGGGTTTTCAAGACTGTAAATCTTTACAGATGCAGACTGACAAGCATTCTCCCAATGAGGGGTTGGTGGGTTCGAACCACCGACGTTTTGGTTAGCAGCCAAATGGCTTAACCACTGTACAATCAGAGCTCCTTTTTAAGAATGTGTAGGGCCTATTAAAGTTTTTAAGTACTGAAGAATTAGGACAATTTTAGAACAGCAAAATGGGTTTTCCAAAAAGTTACCTACAAAGGACAGCCAGTAAGAATAAGCTCTGATCTCTCAGCAGAAACCATGCAAGCAAGAAGGCAATGGGATGGTATATATAAAACCTTGAAAGATAAAAATTTTCAACCAAGAATTATATACCCGGC